AGGTCATGAGTTTGAATTCCAGTAGAAGTTGCTACTCTTAACTTCATTTTTTATAGAACACATAAAATTGGTAAATTTATAAAATGATATCTATCATCAGCTTCATTGAAAATGAATATAGTGAAAAGCAGAACCCATGTTACCTAATGTATTTTCTATAATAACTAGTCTGTCTTGAGAAAATAATAAATGTTGAATGATGCCATTCAGAGGGACACATGAAAACACAAGTGTACAGAGAAACATATGAAATTGTGAGTGGTTAAAATATTCTGCGTTTTAAATGTTGTAGGTGCATGAATTCAGTAAAAGATTGCAATATAGTCCAGTATTCCATAATAGTAGTGGGTTATCCATAGGACTGACAATGTCAGAAGTTGTTGACTTGAGCCTTTTACAGCTCAGCATATTAATATGGCTCTACCTTTTATACTTCATTTTTATACTTTTCTGCTGGATAGTTAAGACCAAGATAAAGCAAGACCTATATAGCAAAAAATGTAACTCTTGTATCTTCCAAGGTCAGTCAAATCTCCTCAGGATTTATCCTGAAACCCTGTACAGTTTGTAGATCCTTTGTCAGTGTCAGCCATGTGGATGAGTCATGGCCATTGCTTGACCAATTTTCTCTCTGTGAAAGCCTGAGAGAATGTTTTCTCTCCATGTGACTCTCCTTCATGGAATACCCATCTCTGACAAAACTAAATAAAAAAAGAGATACAAAGGAGGGACCATTTTGTATCTGTATATTTAAAATAATTAGGATAGATATACAGCTATTTTCTCTTAACTCAATGAATAGAAAATTTGTACTAATAGTATTTGTGGACAGGATATCATGTCTGCATCTTGTACTATGAATAAGCACTAAGAAGACAACAATATGCAATGTATTAATTATTGAAACTATCTTACTGATCGGTTCTGAAGCTGTCTCATTGCCATTTTTCTCAATAAAATTATTTTTAAAAAATTCTGTGTTTCAATGTGCTCAACTCGTGGTCCCCCAAGATCTTAAGCAGAAAACAACTCAGAAATAACACTAAGATCATGAGTATGCATGCCAATTGCTGTGTTCATTATCAATTTCCCCCATCTCTACATGGAAACACGTGTTCATGTGTGTAGATACATGCATATGAAATTCACTTACTGAACAAACACTACAGGTAATGAAAACAGGCAGCGTGCAAAATTTCTTTTCCTCCCATAAATATTAGAATTATTCTCATACCAGCATTTGTGTCCCAAAAGCTCTGAAATATTCCTTTGGGATTTTTCCTTCAAGGATTGGCTCCATTCTACAGATACGCAGGGATTCAGATGTGACGGATCATGCAGCTTTATATATTTTTAGAAGTCTGATGATTTCTGACAAACACTCTCAAGATCAGACCTGACTGCCTTCTAGTCACTGATTTGACATCCAGAATTAGGTATGGAAATGCATTAAAAAGGCAGGTGAAGTGCTCTCAAGTTTTTCTGTTGTTGGTTGCAGACATACTGGAGAGTGGCTCTGTTAAATCTCACAGAGCCTGTGTCTATACACTAATTGTCCAAAATTCTCAGAAACACAAATTTTATTTCAACTATACAGTTTGAGTTAATTAGTGTTGTATGAAGATTGTTTTCCTCTAAAAAATGTTTTCTTCCCATGTTCTCTGATCATAATACAGTGTAACTTGTCCCGATGATTTTTAATATATGTGCTTTCCCAACCAAGTAAGAAGTCAGTAGAAATGGTTGAAATCAGATTAACCAGACCACGACTAACAGAAATATTTAGAAAAGAATTCCTGATCATTTCAGAACATTATTTCTTCATACCTGCCCTCACTTGTTCTTCAAAAGGAGAATCTAATACACTTTCTTCCTGCCTAGAGGTAGGACTCTCATTAACTTCTCTACATAGAAAATTCATCTTGAATGACTCTACTAAATCACTGAGAAAGAAAATGGCTTGTAAACATTAGATATTGTCAAGGGACAAAATATATATTTTTTGTGCATCTGTGATAAAGACAGATAAAGATACCATCAAAGTTACTTTATATTTGGTAATATTTGTATTTATTGTAACTGCATCAGAGATCAATTTCTTCACAACTTAAGTTTATTTTCTTCAGAAAAAAGTAAGTTCAGTAGTGAAAGCAATTTGAAGTTATATCTTAAAAGTTGAATTTAATCTGTGTTTACAACTGTAAATTGGATTATTAACTGAGAGATTTGAAAATGAGATCTAAACTCATTATATAACAAAACATCCAGTATTAGTATTTAGATTATGTCCATAAAGTAAACATGAGACATATTAATAGTATATTTATCTAAGGAAATAATTTCTTCGGAATGCTACAAATGTTATCTGTGGAACATATTTCATATTATAAACTCATGGATATCCTGGTTCACCCTAATTTTTCTATTTTCTTCTGTTGCATAAGTATATCACAGGATCATTGCCTTGCTCATCTTTTACATATAACTGTATGGCTTGACATTGTCATGTTTCCTAGCTCTTCTCCTTTCCCTCTCTTGAT